TTAAATATATTATGACAATTGTTTCTAGACAAAATAGTTCAAGCAACTAAAATTAAATTCTCTAATTAGATATACTTTAACATATAACATTGTTATGTATAAGTCTTTAAATTCTCTTTAAAAGATTAACTGTTTTTGAGTGATTATATTGAAATGAGAGAAATTAACATGTCGTCTTCTAAATTAAATATGTCACTTTTAATTTTTTTTATTTCATTTTTATCCTTAATGAGATGCACACTATTTCTGGTAGAATGATTAAAATTTCTGGTTCCATCCAAATTTTCAGTACACCCCTATAAAATTTCCGCCATACGTAAATTTTTGATAGTGTATTTAAAATTTCCGGTGTATCGGAAATTTCAAATTAACTGAAAATTCTGGTAGTTATAAAAATATAGTTTTTTAAACGGCTGAGATTTTGCTGACATATTTGGAACAAGAGCCTGTACGTCCTCAATAGGTGTTTGTACCTCCTCCGTAGGAGTCTGTACCTCCTCAGATGTAGATACTCTAACACTCCGACGGCGGGACGCGAAATTGCGCCTGCTGCTCAACCATCTGTTTCTAGTTAGAATCGATCAGAAGACGACGTCTAGCCCGTAGCTCTGAAGCCTGTTCCTCATCAGCTTGGGCTTCAGCATCAACTCTATCAGTGTCAGTCCTGCAATATAGTCATCTCTGCCTCTGATCCTCACTATAAAATAAGAAAATATTAGGAAAATATAAACTATCGGAAATTTCTAAATTTCCGGTATTTAAAAAAAAAGGAACTATCAGAAATTTCATAATTTCTGTTATTCTGTGACGTAGTGGAAATTTCAAAAATTTTGGTATAAATGGTAAATGAAAATATCAGATATTTTGAAATTTCCGATACGAAAATACCGAATATTTTGAAATTCTTGGTACGAAATATCAAAAATTTCATAAATCTACCGTAAATTCTTATTTATTCATGAAATTTCTGGTATCGTCTTTAAAATTTTTGATATCGCTCAAAATTTTCCGATTGATCACCTAAATTTAAAATTTATGGTGAATAATTTATATCTAAATAATTTAGTCTTTTCATGCTATTTGAGAGGGGTATCATATATAATATAGATATCAAATATCACTTTCTGATGAATCAAGTTCAGAGCGGAATATTAGAAGTTGTGCACTGTAGCACCCAGAAGCAGCTGACAGATGTTCTAACAAAGGCTATCAAGACTAATCAATTTCTTCGCTTGAGGGATGAAATTGGTGTTGTCAGTTTTGGATAAAATATAAATTAAGGGATGATATTAGATTTAATCTATATTTTAAGAATATCTTTTGGATATTAATCTATATTTTAGGAATATCTTTTAGAAGATATTATTATATCTTTTTATATCTTTGTTAGAGGATATTTAAGATTTTATTTTATATATAAATAGCCTAGTGAGGTAGCTCAATGTAATTCATTGTAAATCATTATTCCTTATTTTGTAGCCGTTATTTAATATATTATTTTTACCTTTCATCTCTTCTTTGTGCACCAACAGACTATGTATACTTGCACTTATGTCTAATAAAAGAATCAAAGTAAAACATAATAGACACCTATAAGAGTGCATGAGGGGCTGAACTAAATCTCGGTTGAGGGACTAAACTAAATTTTGCTCTTCGGGAGACATTCAAGATCCAAGGGCAAGAGCAAAGCCTTGTTAAGGCTCACCACGAAGGACCAAGGATGAGTAAGGAGTTAAAACACTTCGGCCTTTATGAGTTCTAGTGCTTGAGGGATTATATAGTGATATAATTTAGAGATACTTTAGAGGCGAGGCAAGGCAAGGAAAGCGATATGCTCTTGGCCCTTTCACCTTCTCGAACTTCCCTTGCACTATTTTAAGGGTCCTCCTTTTGATTCGAGCGCCCCTTGACTAGATGTATCGCCCAAGTCTCCAGATTTCTCGTCTATGATGTGTTATCATGCATAAAGTGTCTAACAGGTCAACCTACGTTACATAGGGAGTCTTCAGACTTAAACCCACTTCTAGAATTTTAGGACATCAACCATTCATGCTTAGATTGGTTTCTAAATTATCCGAGACTCGATTCATTTCTCTAAGCTATAACTACATCAATATTACCATTCAAGGGATCCAGTCTCCAACACTGAGAGAAACCACATATACAAAGCTTCTCAATGTATCTTGTTGGCTAACTCTAATCCTTAACAAATCCTAAAGCCTCTGATAGACTCAATAGGAGTTATCACGCTCATTGTACTTTTATCCAGTACATAAAACATCATTAAAAGTCTTAGGTATACCATTAGTTGCACTAAAATCGACATTGCATATGTTGTAGGATTGTTGTGTAAGTTACTAATAGACTGAGTAATAAGCATTAGAAAGCTATTAAGAGTGTCATGTGATACCTAATCAGGACCATGAATCTCAATTTACATTATTAGAGATTTTCTATTGTACTTGAAGGATACAATGGTGCAAATTGGAACACCTTTTTAGATAACTCCAAAAAAATTAGTGGTTACTATAGTTGGATGAGCTATATCTTGGAAATCAAATAAACAAGTTGTCTTGGATTAGTTTACAATGGAGTCTGAAATGATAGTCTAGTGTCTGCTAGTGAAGAACCAAGTTTGTTAAGATGCTTACTAGCTGAAACCCCTTTCTAGACAAAACATATGCCAACTATGTTTATCTATTGGGATAGTACCACGATTATTGCAAAAATTAAGAATCATTATCATAATAGTAAGAGATATCAAATAAGAAGGAATCATACACTATTAGAGATTGTATCTCTAAAAGAGTCGTGAGAGTGATGAAAATTTAGAATATCGTTTGATGAAACACCTATATAGAGTTAAGTTGCTCATGATGATTATCTGATCTAAAAGACTGGAGATTCCAAGAAATATATTCAATGTGTAATAACAAATTGTGAGTAATATGAAATTATCATTCTAGTTTAAATATGAGAAGCATGAATCCTGAAGTGATAAGAGGATGAGATGATAGAAACTTTTAATGAGATCTATAGTGAAGGTGTGAAAAACTCAAGAAAATGGGTTTGAATTGGGTTTTTAAAACAAAATTATTCTTTTAAAAATTATTCCCCCTTTAAGTTAAAATGATTTTTGCTTCACTCTTGATAATAGCAATAAGTAAGAACAAGAAGTAAAGAACAATGTATGTTTATACTAGTTCACTTGAAAATTATCAAGTTAGTCTAGTCCATCGGCCAAGGTGATTTCGCATCACTCAATCGAGGACTTAATCCACTATAACCAAACTGACTATAATTTGCACAAGTTACCCGCAAGTGACTAACAACCTCTAGACTCGTAAGCCCTAGACTTCTTACGGATTCAGACCTACCCGGTCCCTTAAGGAATATCGACTAATAATCAACCTGATTATTACAATGCACAAGCTACCCGTAAGTGATTAACAACTTCTAAAACTCGCAAGCTCTAGACTTCTTAAGGATTCAGACCTACCCGGTCCCTTAAGGAATATCAAACAACAGTTTGAATACAAGTTTTGTTTACAAGAGTATTGCTTCTAAAAGTTGAGTATGTAAACTATTTTATGAACAGTGACTTAGAATGTGAAATCAATAAGCAGCATTTACCCGTGAATATTCAGTAGTTAGCCTTATCTATCTTTCTTAGTCTTCAAGCCTTTATATAGCCATTAACATAATGTATCCATTGAGGGATGCTCTTGGAATTTCCAGAAACATTGACAGCTTGAACAGTAACGTGGGGGACAAGATCGTGCGACAGTCTGTCCTTTCATGGTAGTGGAATGAAACATTAATTGTACCATGTACTATTTGTACCACCTTAATGTTATCTTCTTTCTTTCTGCACTTCAGAGGCTTCTGCGAGCAACTAGTTTAGAAGCGAGAATATAACATCGAGTCATCAGAACTTCAAGTCTTCAGAGTCTTCAGAACCGCGTCTTTAGAGTCTTCAGCACTTGGTTATGAGAGCCTTTTCTTCGAACCTTAAGTCTTTAGAATCTTTCGATCTTCTGTCTTTTAGAGTCTTCAGCACTTGGTCTTCATAACCCTTATCTTTAGAACTTCATAAACAGAAACACAAGCTTTCAGCATCTAGACTTCAGTAGAAACGTTGTCTTAAGATCTTCTAATTTTGTTTCTTTGGAACATGTTGTCTTTAGAAATACGAGTCTTTAGAATATGGACGTAAGTAACAACTTATGTCTTCAGATCTTCTAACTGGTTTTCTTAGAACATGTTGTCTTTAGAAGCTTGAGTCTTCAGCATCTGGACAACTTCTGTCTTCAAATCTTTTGATTGGTTTCTTTAGACAGATATCACAGTTTACACTTCAGAGCCTTCTGGAGTGTCTTGCTACTGTTCAACAGAACTTATGTAGCATAGAAGCAGAATCATTTCTCTTCTAATGTCTTGACCACATCATCCATCAGAAGCAAAACTTGTTTGTTAAGTACTCAACAATAATAAATATTAATATAACAAAATTGTTCATACAATCATACTCATTTGTTATCATCAAAGCTCATAGATAATATTGCAGAACCAAATCTTATTCTTACATATAATCTATATGATGGAGTACCTAGCGACAAGAGTACTCTTAATGAACTCACTTGATAAATTATTTAATGGTCAATCTCATGTCACAAAATGTCAAATAAGATAGAAATGTAGTTTCAATAATTATCATATAAATTGCCAAATTCACATAAATTGTATGTTACTTACTACCTCAACAAGAGTTACAAACATAAACATAAAAGAGTGTCTTGATCCAACAACGATTAAGTTATTCGACAAGAAAAATATTAGTTTGGATTGAATTTTAACTTATATACATTATTCATAGCTAAAAGACCTATTCGGAAGAGTTCTTGGATCAAGTTTATTTGTATGTCTTTTAACATTTTTCTTTTTTCACTATGTAAGAAAGTTGAAAAACTATTGTAGCTAATGTTAGACTTTCCATCTTATTACCCTTTTCTTCTTTTAGGACTTGAAATAAATTCATCATCATCTTCATCATTCTCAACAACTACTTTTTTTGCTTTAATGTCTCCATTTTTAGATGCTTGTTTATTGGAAGTTTCAGTTTTAGTGGCTGGCTTCACAGGAGTTCCTGTCCTCAGCTCCTTTTGCTTCCTATGCTTCTTCTCAAATGCTCTCTTGGCATTTTCTGGAGACAACATCCCATGTTCCATTAACCTGAACATTAAAATACATAAATGTAATGTTCACTCAACATATAAAGCACAATTTTAACCTTTTTTTCTTCTTGTCGTTTAATAAATAGAGTTTACGGTTTTAAATTGCAGTCTACAACGGCAATATTACAATTTTGAAGTCGCTGCTACCGCAATTTCGACAATATCATTAAAAGGGACTTACCAAAATTCTGCCATTTCACTAGTTGGTATTTGTTTTGATAAGGACTCATAGAAAATTCTTAGAGGTTCTTTCTGTCAATAAAATTATAATAGTCATTAAAATCACAAAGATGAGTAGGAATTAATTTCATACATAGAGACATTACATTAGATTTATAATTTCTTGAAAAATCAATTGTTACATACTCAAATCAATACCTGTTCTGGAGGATCATGTTTCTGCCCAGGAAGATTATACACTTTCTTTTCTCTCACTTTTGTAGTAGTTGTTTTCGTGGTCGATTTCGAAGACGACGACGATGTAGCTTTATGTTTAACCTTCGAAATTAATAATGTGATGAAGAAGCAATTGCAGTTTTAATGTGGTAGGAGAATCATAAAAAAAGTATTCATTTTGCGAGTTGCAGACTATAATTTAAAACCATTCGAATAATAGATCGCAGCATTTATAAATGTAACAATCAACAAAAGTATATACCTAATTCAACACAGCAACATGAAAAAGCAACATAATTACACTTTCAAAATTCCAGAAAACAATTGTAACCAAAAAAAATTCCAGAAAACAAATAAATTCATAACCCTATAAATTGATCTACTATTCAATAATTCAACCAAATAACATGACAACAAAAAAATTATTATAATTTAAATTTGAAATGTTAAGTTTGAGGAGTGATTAATACCTCAGATTTTGAGACAGATTTGATCTTTGAATCAGGTGGATTTTTGCTTGAGCTGGCCATTTTCTTTCTTAAATCTGGATCATTTGATTTGAGCTTCATCACATTGTTTTTTATCTCTGTAGCATTTCATGAATCTAATGTCAATTATATATGAATTTATTTATTGAACATTTAATTATTTTCTTTGTTATAATAATACATTTCTGATTCTTATACGCAAATGCTCAATTTTTTTCTCCTTTTTATTTCTTTCGTGAAAAGGGAGAGAAGAAACGTTCAGATTTGCGGGTTAATGTTTGTTTAACTGCCATGTTCTACACACATATTGAACTGTGCTTCACAAAGACACTTATGTCCTTTATGTAGCTTTCAATAGTACAAATATATTTTGTAACCTTGAGAATTTTTAAACATAAAGTTATTAATTATAAGTTGTTAGCATATTTTTGCTTCTAAAAAGAATATATATATACACTAGTGATAGTTTTAGCGACTGTTTTTACTTAGCGATTAAATTATCGATAATTTTAGCAGAAGCGACTAAAAGTGTGGATGTAAATTTTTAGAAAAACGATTATTCGAAGAAATTTTTATAAGGACTAAAATCAAATTTAAGTTATTTATAGGGACGGAAAATATTTTTTTTATAAAAGGTAATCTGTATTAAAAGAAGATTGATACACAAAAGATGTGGGACTAGAGTCAAAACTCACTCAAAAGTATCTAAATATAAAAATAAAAAAAGGCAACCCTAACCTATTTTTTACATAATCACTTCTAATCTTTTAAGGTAAAGAATCAAAAAGAATAAGCTAAATTGAGGTAGACCCATATTAGCAAAAAAATCCGCACAACTATTTCTTTTATTGCAAATGTGAGTAATCAAAAAATTCATCCGCAAGATAAAATTGATGCAATTAAGCCATCTATTCCTTAATTGCCAAGGAATCAAATCCAACTTATCCTTAGAAAAAGCATTGACAACCGTAGAAGAATATGTCTTCATCCAAAGATTATTCCAGCCTTTGTCTTTAGCCAACTCAATTCCTCGCAAGACTCCACTAAACTCGACCAACAAAGAGTTACTCCAAGAGAGAGGTTCCACAAATGCAAGAGAAAACTCCCTTGAGTTAGAACGAAAAATACCACCACAAACTAAAAATCTTGGGGAATCCATAAAAGATCCACCTACATTACATTCCATTCATCTAATAGGAGGTGGATTCCAAATAATCTCCCTAATACTAGGCATCCTAAATGGATTAACGTTTAAAAGAAAAGTTTTTAACACAGTGAAGTCATACATGTTGTGCTTATACGAAAATTTCGCATTAGAATTGCTCAAATTCACTTGAGCCAGGATATTTGCGTGAATAGAAGTGATGTTAGGAGTAGAGTTGAGATAACTAACCGCATTTATAGCACTCCAAATAACATTAATAATAAAAATGCTTACAGCTTGAATAACAAAAGGTCCTGGGTCGAAGAAGCTTTCGAATGCAGATTCCAAAAATTGACACGCGAAATTCGGACTTGCAGAATATTACCAAGCCAATTCCAGAGACTTGCTGCAAAAGAACATGAGAAAAAAGATGGTTTGACTCCTCAACATACCTGTTTCAAAAAGAACATTTGGAAACAATCGAAAATCCTCTCAATAGCTTTAAGAATATAATTCGGCCAAGAATAAACTGTCATAGTATGACTAACCATGGAATGAATAACCGACTGCACCATCAACATACGACCAATAATAGAGAGAAGAGAACCTTTCCATGCCAAAAACTTGGTCAGGATCCTATCCGCAATAGTATGGAAGTAATGGGACTTGGCTCTACCTTTAAAAATTGGAGCACCAAGATAATCAAAAGGAAGGACACCTTTGCTTAAACCAAAGAGCTCTAACAAGTTCTTGAATCTATTATCAGACAACCCACCTGCAAAAATAAAATATTTTGAGGGCTAAAAACTCGATCTAAAGCAGTAACATAAGAGGAAAAGAAAGTGAACAGAGCTTTGATATTGGATTTAGTGCCTTTACAAAATATGAGAATGTCATCCGCATATAGGGTGTGGGAAGGAAATGGCGAATTTTTAGGACCAAGCATAGGCTTAATTGCACCAACAAACACCAATATGAAGATCCCTCAGATAAAAAATTCTTCAGCCAAACAAAAAAGCAATGAAGATAAAGGATCACCTTGTCGGACCCCCCTTGCACATTTGAAGTAACCATTAGAAGCACCATTAACAATAACAGTAAGATGTGCAGAATAATGAATTTCCGAAATCTAACTCATAAACTTGGAAGAGAAACCAAAACATTCCAAAACCTTAAGGAGAAACTTCCAATTAAGAGTATCAAAGGATTTTGTGACAGCAAGTTTTATCGCAATATTACCACTGAAACATTTCCTATCCATCATGTTAAAGGCCTCAAAATCTAAACAGATACAATCATGAATATTTCTCCCTTGCATAAAGACTTTTTGCTCCTTGCAGATGAAAAAAGGCATAACAGAAGACAACCGATCAACCATGATTTTAGAAATAATTTTAAACTTGAAGTTCGCTAGACCAATAAGCTTAAACTTGTTCAAAGGTTTAGCACCATTTATTTTAGGGATAAGAAATAATGCACTAACATTAAAGTTTGGCATTATCCACCCTAGAGTTGAAGGACAACCTTGGACACATCATCTTTCACAATATCCCAATAGCTTTGATAAAAGAAGCCACCAAAATAGTCTAGCCTCCGGGAGCTATCAATATTGGTGTAAGCTCTAGAGGCAAATACTTTTGGTACTTGTATCAAATTATTTATTAATAATAAAAGATATTTCTTTATTATGTTTGCTTTTTCCAAAATAATAAAGTCCCTAGAATAGTTTGTCTATTTAATGGAATGTTAAGTGTGACTTAATCATGAGATTCTATTAAACATAAGGACACTATTCTTAAAGTATATGTAGTCGAGCTTTATTGTAAAGTGGAATAACATTAAAGCAGTATGATTATCATGTAGATATACTGATGATCACATTTTATGGATCGTGGATAAGGAGTTATCAAGTCTTGACATAGGTATGAACGTTAGGAGTAATATTTATACTGGATTGACCCGCTATGAGAATACTACATACAAGGTTATGAAAAGTGTTATAAGTTATTTTCATGGTGATAAGTGGTGTATACCACCCTTCGACCTGAAACTACTATGGATCCTAGATGTAGAGTCAAGTGCTTCAGTGTTGATCAAACGTTGTCCGTAACTGGATGACCATAAAGACAATTGATGGGTACTTCACAAAGCATGTTGAGAGACATGAGTGACCTAGATGGAATTTTCCCATCATGCGTAACAGGATAAATGTCTAAGGACACAATATTGAACTAGACAAGGGTGACACAGTCTATGCCTTGTGTTCAATATAGACATGAGGGAAAAAGATTAATTGTACACACAAGTATTATCATGAAAAGGTTTTGTCAGATCTCATGACATTTTCGTGACTTGGGTAGCAGTGATGTGTTGCTAGATATCGCTCATTGTATATTATGTTAAATGTGTGATTTAATATAATTGCCAACGTCGCGAAATCATACAGGGTCACACACATAAGGACATGTTTATGAGAGATAGAGTAAATAAGGAACATCATAAGGTATAATGCTCTTAACTAAATTGTAGAACGTCGTATGGTATGATACACTTAAGTGGAATACAGAATATGGTAAGGTACCACGTACTTAAGTGATATACGATACATCATAAGGTATGATGCCCGTATGCTTAATCAGGATTTTAGCTTACAACCTTATTTGGGCTTCTAGATTGCAGCCCACACAAGTGGTTTTATAAATAGAACCCTTGTGCTGAAGCATTTTTACTTGATAAAATTTCGGTCTTGAAACCCTAGCCGTATTTTTTCTCACTCTCTCACTCAAAGTTTTCGTTCGTAAGCAGCTAGAATTATGACCGGAAGTGATTTGTTCGTGTGGACTGAGTAGAGACTTTGTTCTTCATCAATGCTCGTGATCACGACATCAAAGGTATGAATCGCCACAAGAGGTAATAGTTTCTATCACTGATCATGCTCATTCGTAAGGATCGCTAAAGGAAAATTTTAATTTCTGCTGCGTATTGTATCTCAATTTTCCTTCAATCAAAACTTAAGTTGAACACGACAAATTTAATCTCATCCAAGGAAGGGCAAGCAATAAGCATGAAATTCATCTGCTCATTTATAAGGTTAAGGATAAGAACCTCCATGTCAGAAAAAGCTTGACCATCAACCTCTGTACCAAAAATGTTAGTAAAATAATTAGTGACATGATTGGTTATAACATGAGAATCATGAATAAGATTGTCACCATCCATCAAATGAGTGATGACATTTCTAACTCGTTTGATCTTCGTCATTATGTGAAATTAGACGTATTTCTATCTCCACCATTATGTCAATTGACTCTGGATTTCTCTTTCCAAAATATCTCCTCTACCTCTAAAGCTTTTTCCATTTCCAATTGGGCAGTTTTTTCATGAGAAATAAACTCATCATTAGCGCATTCCCTATGATTTTGTCTTGAATTTGAAGCAATAAATCAGAGGCAGTGTGTACTCTTTTATGCACATCTCCAAAAATACACTTGTTCCTCATTCTAAGATTCCTTTTTAAAAAAGCTTCAATTTCTTGTTGGGAATGTACATAGTACAACTGACAAAATTCATTTTCTAGCAATCATTGATCAAGCCATATCAAGTTTCATTGGTCGCCCATATTTTATGGAACCTGAAATGAGAAACCCATTTAACCATACTAAAATTGAAATAAAAATGGATGAGAAAATGATTAGATTTCAGCCTCGGAAGAGAGGACACCGACCAACTAGCGCACTCAGACGCCCACGCTTGATTGTAGATGATTCTATCTAATCTTCTCTCGACAAGGCAAAATTGAGTCTCTGGTTTGTCCAAGTGAAAAAATCTCTATTAGTTTCCAAGTCTACCAGCATGTTGTCCTCCCACCAAGCTTGTGGATGTGTTTTCCAAACCTCTATTATTCTGAAAAATGCTCTTCATAGATAAGACTTTGATC